GAAATATATATTTATAATCATATCACTAAAGTTAAAATAATGAGTAAATATTGCAATGTTTTGTGATGAAAATCAATATGAGGATAGAAAGGAAAGGAGGAAGATAGACTTGGTCCCCACCCAATCTCATATGATTTGTCCTTTCTTTCTTTCTATCGTATTCTATTCTTTCTACGTACTGTTCATCAAACATCAATCATTGGTCAACTTAACACACAGTTTTATGAAGAGAACTTTTAATCGGCGTTAACCCTTACGTACCTTGGGGTAGTTGTTGAAGTTCTTACTGAGGACGTGGTGGACGTTCATCGGATCCACGGTGATGAGGAAGTCGACGCCGGCGAACCATGGTCCTCTGAACCTGAAAGTGCCTCCGCTCTGTTTCATGACTCTGGTGATGAACTCGTGGAAGAGGTCGTGAGATACGTTCCACAGCAAGGATGGAAGCATGCCGACGACCGGCCAGTTTGGTATAATAATGGCCTTCTTCTTGTTTTGGATGGCCAACCAGCCCACGCAAAGGAAAGGGAGAATGATTACGAGTGCCAATAGTGTCGCCATTTCTTTCTGATCTTTTCTCGGCCGTTTGGGAATGGACAAGAAGGAATGGACGTCTTATTATTATATATGTAAAAACTTGGTTTGTTAGGGGGGTTTTGTCTGTGTGTATTTATAGAGACGGAATTGATCAGAAGGTGATTGGGAAAGGAAACAACATTTTCCTTGGGGTGTATTACAAAAATGGTCACTAATCTTTGGGGCCACGAGGGATAAATAGGTGAAACTTTGACAAGAATGCGATAGAATTTTTACATCATTTGTTAAGATGCTACTAAAGATTTAATCAAAGTAATCTAATAATAATTAACTAGGGTCGGTCTAGATTGAACTCCATTAGGATGGAGGGTTGTTTCGAGTTTTTTTTATATGAATTTTGTGTACAAGTGATGATTTGGTTGGTCTAGGAAAAATGAATCACTATATCTCTCCATGCCTAAGCATACCATGAACATGAGAGTAACTATCATGAAATTTAAATTGTCTATTAGGGTCATTTGATTGATGAATTTGATCGAGTGGTGAATTATATTGTTCCCCAGGAATCCATTAGTGTATGAGTATGGTCGATATCTCTGAATAACTAGTAGTGGATTGTGGCATAGTGAGGTTTTATTCGGAAGTATGGTAAATGGTACGTGATATTTTGAAATATCTCCATTTAAGGGAAATAATTCAATGGAAATCATAAGTCCTAATGAAACGGATATAGCAATGGCTTGCTAGAATCTCATTCTTTTCTTATTCTAGAATGTTTGTTGTGTGTATATATGTGCCATTTCGAGACGATCTATTAACAGCTAATAAAACATTCCATGACAGTTTTGATTACAACTTTATTGGGAAATGCCAGATTGGTGGTGAATAACCGCATTGTTGATGTGATATGATAAAATATGGAGAGATGCATGATCCTATACAATCAATAAAAACTACTAATCTTCAATTTCCTATTCTCACAATTACCTTATACCGAGAATATCAACTAGAGGTGACAAATGAATTAGATTTATAGATTAATGGAGTGAATTGACGGATGCATGAATCTAATGAATTGATAGATTAGAATCAAGAATACAAGTGACCAGCACAATGCATTTCTTCAAAGCCTATATCACCCATTTGAAGGTAGTGCAATATCCAACGTGGCCGGCCTCCGATGGGCCAACGCCAACTCTGAACTACAATTTGGCAGTCGGGAAATAATGTCACGTCACATGGTTTGAAGGTCTAATACCAGCTCAGCTGGTATATGATGGTCCAGTCCAGTCCATTATTTAGAAGGCTCTGGAGGCAGGCACTGCGAATTGCCAAAGATACCTTATCCACAAGTCATCGATGGTTTCCCCGATTATGGCACATATATCCAACTAATTTTAGGTATCATCAATGAAATATAAACAATGATACCTGCATATGCATGCATGTCATCCTCCAAGCCATTCGTTCCATGCACTGTGCCGGTATGAGATAATGATTATAAGTACGTGAATGTATAGGAAGTGGGGAGGAGAAGCAACATGCACCCTAGCTACATATAGCTTCCCCACCTAATCCTTGTACATATAGTTTGGATTCCATGTGATCAAATCTTTGATTTCGTGATTAAAGGATGAGGCGGTCAAGTACACCGACACAATACCCTATCTAATTCACCAAGACGAAGATATTTATTTCAGAAAATATTTATCATTAAACGATTTGGCCTTAAGGTGTAGCTCGACAAAGTACTGAACAAATTCTCGACCGGAGGTACTCGTTGTTCGATTCAATCCTGAACCAGAACAAACCGTGATAAGATCGAATAATATATGGGGAATACAAACGGAAAAAAAAATACAAGTTTGGTTCGTTTGATGTCCAAATTCAATTTTGGTCCACTTTTATTTTACATTTAGGATCATTCATACAATCAAATTCGAATCGAAATATATTCAATCTAGTTGGTCTGATTTAAATCCAATCATGACCCACCTTTACTCTCTAGTCTCAACTCAAGCAGTTTTGTACGCGGCAGGAACATGGTTAGGCGGTGGCCGGCTTTCAATTAAGGAGGACATTTGATAGAAACCTGCATTTATGTTATTTTTAGCATTTGGACTCATTTGTTAATCTATGATTGTTTGAGGATTTTATTGGGCATTTGGGGTCATGTTTGGGGATTAATAAGTTGGGGTAGCTATAGGAAATTATGGGTTTGCTATATAAACCATTTTGTTACGTGGGAATATAAGTTAAGCAAGCTTAAATCTAATTGTGTTTTCTTATCCTCTCTCTTTCCTCTCTCCGCCGAACCCTCTCCTCTTCCCTATTGCCGCCGCCGCAGCTTCTACTTCTTTTCCCTCTCAATTCCCTAAATTTTCTTCTTCCTCACACTTCCTTAACAAGAATCGATCACTAGCTCGGTGATCCGCTCATTTCTTTCATCTTCATCGAAATAGATAGAACCTGATATCCAGGTTTCTATCAGCATTCCTGTTCGACATGGTAGTATGTTGGGAATTAAGGATGGCATACAAGAAGAAGATATACCGTAACTAGCATTTAATGCCCCAACCTAATCCTTTCCTAGCTACCTAATCGACACACACCATGGCCTCATTTGATATCCAACCATCGAATTCAGTTACGACATTAAAGCAGAAGATGACTTGTGCCAACAAAAACAAAACATAAATAATATGAAGACTAGAAAAATCAAATTATACATTTAGTAGATCGATCCTTATTCTCTGAATTAAAACTCCAAATTTGTTTCTAATGAAATTAGACGAACCACAACTGTTCAAGTTTTAGAATCACCTCAAAAGTCTCTTAAATATGTTTTTTTTTTGTTGCAAAAGGACTAAACTGAAAAATAAAATACTATGGTCAACCTGTTGGAGGCGTGGATCTTGGCACCCGAGATTATTGTGATAGGACGTGATTTGGAACAGAAATAAGGAAGAATTAGACGAAGATTCGGAGAGAAGAAGAGCAAGAACGGGTCGGCGGCCGATTGAAGGAGAGGAGAAGAATTTAGGGTTTGGGAGATACGTAGAACTATTCTTTGATTATTTCCTGATTGATTCCTAACTGAATGACGAAATTACATTATATAGGTTATAGGCTAGCCCTAATCGACTTACTATCACCAAATATTAAAATACCCTTAAACTACTACTCATACCCTCAACACAACCTCGCTTTTCAAAGATGAGAGGATGAACTAGAAACTAGATAGTAGTAATCACATACAATTGTTGATAAAATACGGCATGTTTTGAATTGCATATAATTTATATCTGAATATTTTTTTTTGATTTTTCAACTAAACAAACATTTAGTAGTATGTCAATGGTCATAAAATATATAAAATTAATTACTTTAAAAATAACTAAGCCAATTTAGAGTTCAACTTATTTTTACCGAACAACTCCAGTTCACACCAAGTCAACTCCCAGTAATTGCTATTTGAGCTCTTTTCTAAAGGATGGGATACTCTGCTTTCTCATCAGAGAATCAAGATGGCAGTTCAAGCAATACAAGAAGGTTAATTGCGATTTGAGCTAGTTGCTTGAACTGGTGAGGAGAGGAGATGAAGAGGACGAAGCGAGAGGAGACATGCATGTCAGCAAGACAGCAACGACATTGATTTGGAAGATAGGGCGGGTTGGGCTCCAGTCTTCAAGGAAATGGCGGGCTGGCTTGAGAATCAGGGCTGGTGGGCTGCTATTCGGAGGTCGGGTCGAAACTCGAATCTGAGCAGCTGTGACTTGTGACTTGAAATTATGTATGAGATGGGCTATTATCATTTTTTTTTATCATGTATGAGATGGGGAAAGTAGCCAACTTTCGTTAGTGTCGTGTCTTGAGAATTATGTTTTCTTTTTCTTTCGTTAGTGTCGTGTCTTTGTTTCTCGGAGCTTCTTCAGATCTGTCCAAGTAGTATTGTGTCTTGGAATTTAAACCTCAAAGATGGATTTCAGAAGAAGGGAACATAATTCATGTTCCGTTGCAGAAGTTTATGGCTTTTTTGACAGGACCAAAGATTTGTTTTATAGGAAGGCGATGTCTTTCATGCATTTCAAGTTCATTATTAGTGCTATTCTGTGGAACTATAAGTTGATATGGCAGAGGGTCACATCGTGAAGCCAACACCTTCTATTCTATTGTCTATGAAAGATGGCATGAAGATAAGAGTTTCCAAGAGAGATGTTTAGTTTCTTCCTACAATATTTGTGGTCTTTGATAATAATAAAAAGAGTAATGTATATTTTTTATCCAAACCTTTTTCAAATTCGTTTATATTATCCAAATCTATTAAAATTATCTCTTTAAAAGAACAAGTTACAACTTTACTGTTTGGTAGAGTCACGTCTTAACACTGTTTTTCTTTGCCACATTTTTACTGCGTTCTCGTCTGTAATCATTGCTTACCTCTCTCTTTCCTCTCTGCTTTTAGCCTGGGTTGCTTCGCCAGCGACTTCTCTTCTCTCTGCAACTTATCGGTTTTCGGAACTCCTCACCTTTCCCCTGGAAATGACAGGTCTGGCGCTTCCTCATCTGTTCCTTTCCCCACAAAAGTCTTGTTTTGCTTTGCTACCTTTCATTTGTGCTTCTTACAGACTTTTCCTCTTCTAGCTTGCTTGCTCGCTTGCTTTCTTCTATTGCTCTTCCATGGTGACCCATAAATTGCTTCTTGACCTCAGCGACTCCGATGGCCCTCAGACTCTTCTGAAGCTGCGCCTCCTAAATGCGTGGGGGTCTTATGGCCTCAAGAATCCTACATTAATCTTCAACTACTGCACTCTTTGGAATGATGAGGAGGTCAGCGCTGCTTTCCTTTTTATTTTGCCACGTAATCTTGCGCCTCCCTTCTTTTTACAGCCCTCTGATGTTCGTTTCTTTTCTGGCCAGGGTACTTTGATTCAGGGCACGGCTCCTTCGGAACTCACGCGCCATTTCTCTCCGCTTCTGCAGTTGGGTAGCGTTTACTTCGTGAGCAATTTTCGCGTCAAGCCACCGGCCCCTTCGTATCGTTCTTGCTCTCATAAGTTGACCATCATCCTCTCTGCCGCTACACAGTTCGAAGACGTGACCCGTTCGTCACCTTCATTCTGGCCGGATGCGTTCGAATTTACCCCGTTCAGCTCGCTTCATTCCCGCATACGTTCATCGGTTTATCTAACAGGTCTTGTACTGTATTCTTTACGTCTCTTGCTGTCCGTTCTGCAGTGTACTGCTTACCATCCTTTCCTTTCTTCTCTTGCTTGTGCCTCTGTCAGATGTCGTTGGCGCTGTTGTTAGCATAACAGGCGTTTCTAGCCCTGTAACTTCATTCGGTACCACTGTGCGGAGTGATTTGGTGCTTCAGAATGAAAAGTATGTTACAGATGCACACCACTGCTTTATCGACTGTAATACATTTGTTACTTACTTTCGTTGCTTTTTTGCCCAGCCACATGTTTCTTGATATCAGTCTGTGGAGTGATATAGCTCGGAATCTCAATGGTCAGGAACTGGCTGTCCTTGGTCGTTCTGGGCCAGTTATGCTTGCTGTTTGCTCACTTCGAGTCACTGGCGCTACGAAAGGTCTGCATGTACCTTACCGCCGCACTATTCTCCCTTTCATTTCCCTTCCTCTTTTCCTTATTACCTTTACCCCTCTTGTAGGAGGTTACTCTCTTACCAGTACTCCAGGCACACGTTGTGTTCTCAACCCTGTTTCTGAAATGGCTCACCTGGTCCAATCTGTGTATGTCTTTTCTTATCCTCCTCATATTTGTTTTTCCCTTTGCATCATCAGCTGTATTTTTGGTTACTGCTAATTTGTTGCGTTCCTTGCTTTCGCTTTCGTTAGGTTCTTTGCCATCACTAATACATGTCAATATTACCCTCCGAGGTTTGCAACTCCTAATGAGGCAGCGGCCTTCGAAGCTGAATGTACGAAGACTGTGTCACAACTACTTGCCTTGTGTTTTCCACCTGTTGCCGATGTATGCTTTTTCCCATTTTGCTCTCCAGCTTACCTGCTTCTGTTCCTTTCACTTCATTTGTTTGTCCGTCTAATCATTTCTTTCGTTTACTTTTTTTTAGTCTACGCGTTACCATTGCTCTGGTCGGATTGTTTCGGTTGATTCTTCTATGCAGTGGTACTACTTGGGTTGTGCGCTTTGTTCCAAAGCAGCCATAGATTATGATGGTGTTGACAAATGGTGTGATGACCACCGTCGTTTGGTGCCTCAACAAACACAGAACTTGTAATTCCTTTCTTCATTCTTGCCCCCATACCTTTTACCTTTTCTCGTGTCCTCAGATGCTCCTGTACACGTTTTTTGCAGTTACAAACTTCGGGTAACAGTTGATGACAACACTGGATCAGCAGCTTTTGTTCTGCTGGGTAGGGCCGCTGACCTTCTTGTGGGCTTGACTGCTAACGATCTCTCTACTAGGTTTCCTTACCAACGCAATGTTCTTCCACAAGAACTTCTGGCTCTTGAAGGGCGAGACTTTACTTTTGACGTCCAGCTTCCAAAACCGGAATATGGGGCTCGTGGCCCGCCAGAATTCACGGTCCTTGCTGTCAATGAGCAAGAACAGCCAAATTCCTGCTCACCAACTCTTGGTCGCCGGGCAAGAAATGCTATGCCCCATACACCACCTCCTAACAGGTTGTTTTAATGTTCTTCAGTTTGTGGTGCAGTTTCCTTTTGCTCATTACTAATTGCTGCTTTCCGTTGCAGTCCTCACTTGATGCCTCTTACTTCTCCATATGTTGTTCCAACAATGCAGAACGCTTCGGTAGAGCATGGTTCTTCTGTTGCTTCACCAAGGTTATGCTTCAATTTTACATGTCCTCTTTTCTCTGGTTGTTGCTTGTCTTTAACTCGGGTTCCTTCTTAAATTTGCAGTGGGAGTTCTCAGCTTGCATTTTCTACTCCTCCACGTCGCCCCTATAGCAGGTTGTTTTTACAATCCACTTTGCTTTACAAAATTAACAAGCGCTTCTTTGGACGCTGTCGTACTCTTTCCCTATGTGTTGACATTTCTTTTCCATGCGTTGTTTACCATCAATTTCCAGTAGGCGCATCGCTGCTGTATCCTCGCCCTCATCTGCTGCATTGGGAAGGTTGTCTGTTTGTTGTCTGCTTTGCTAGCTTAGTGCTGCTTATACACGTTCTGATGTCGTTTCCTGACATGTTTCTTTTCAACAACAGTACTGTAGCTTCTTCTCCTGAACTTGGTCGTACTGAGATTGTTTCCTATGCGCGGTCAGTTTCTTGCCTTTTCCTGTGTTACCTCAATCGTTCGCCTTTACGCCTGCTAATATTTGTCAATGACTCTTGCACACCCGTTTTAACTGCTTCTTAGCCCTAGAAGTGAGGAAGTGCCCCAGAAACTGCAACACAGCGATCCCCACAGTACCTTTCCTCCTGTTAACTTACTTACTAGCTTTACGTGTCTCTTTCTTTCCTTGCTGAGCATTTCTGTATCAGGGAACTTGCTTCGGACACTACAGAAGCTACTGTGCAGAACAAGAACATTAGTTCGCAGAAAGCGAAGCCGAAGAAACCATCTGCTAAGAAGAAGTCTCTCTGCCCTTTATTAGCTTGCTATGTTTCTTGTACCAAATTTACATATCCTACATTAGGTCTTAATTTCCTGTTTAACTTGCTTCTGTTTGCAATACTGGCAATTTACTTGGTTTTGTGCACCCTTCGTTTTACATGTGGCCTGCTTCCTACCCATTCCCCATTGTTATTTCGTTTTACCACTTATTTGGTTGTTAACTGTGCATACGCCACTATTGCCTCTTGGAATTCTTTTACTTATCATAGTATCCTGCATTGTACTTCGATTTACTGTCCTTACCTTATACAACTTTGTTGGACTTTTGCAGGAAAACTGGAGGTGCAGGTGCTGCGCGTCGTCCTGCAGTTACTCTTGAAGAAACCGATGTTCCGATATCGTCCCTTCAGATCCCTGTTGGACATCCTTTGCCAACCGAAATCCGGCGAATCCTGACTCTGGAAATCTTAATGCCCTCGGTGTCAATTTGCAGACAACAACAATTCAGGCCTTTGTCACAGTATGTGTCGTTCCTAATTCTTTGCTTGCCAGTGTTGTCTGCTCCCTAGGATTCCAGTTTGCATGCTTTTGGTGCTCTTCTAAACCTGATCAAAAAAGGTTTCCAGTCTGCACAGAATACTTATTTTTGACGCAAAAAAAATTGCAAACAATGCTTTACAATTAAGTTGGTCTTCTTGCTTTTATACATGGTTTTAAGTCGTTACCATAAAATACAATAGCCGATGGATGGCCTTTTGTATCCCTTTCTTCGCCCTTCGCTAACTTACACGTGTTCTCAATGTGCAGACATACAATGTTACCTTTCAGTGGCCATACTAATTATCTACGAATGTTCTACCTTTTTTGTTTATACAGAACAAAATAAACAAATAGTTGTGCCTTCTGCTTACTTGGTCAGCTTCAAATCAATTATTTTCCCACAGTTGAAGTAATAATCGTCTTTACTTTAGGGAGATTCCTTGTGCAGTTTGTTCTTTGTTGTTAGTCATTATCTTATTCGTGCTTTGCAAGTTGCTCCCGCATTGCATAGGAATGTGCATGTTCTTTCATATAGATGTGTGCTTTACAGACCTACTTCCTTTGTCTCCTTTTCTAGGCAACCTGTGTCTATAAATCCTGCACCTGTACGTCGCCGTCGCTTGGTTGTTTCTTCTGATGAAGACGAACCTGTTGTCCCTTTGGAACTGCAAGACTTGGACGTTGAACTTCCACTGCAAGAACAGGCTATTGAAAACTCTTCGACTTGTCCTGTTCCTACCGTTGACTCTACTTTGCCTTCTCCTCTTCTTGCTGGCCAAGAAGTTCTGCTACTTCCAGTGGGGAAAACTAATCCTGGGAGGGCAAAGCGAATTAGGACACCGTCTGCAAAGGCCATTGAAGCATCTGTGGATGCCTCCAAGAGGAAGCCAAAAACTCCCAAATCGTCTGCTAAGGAACCTGCTAAGAAACAACTGTTTGCTGATTGACCGTGATTCGCATCATGCGAGTGCTAATGTAACATGCTTGTGCAGTGCTGTCCCTCCCTTTCTTTTGTATAACTTTTAAAGGGAAACACTCTTTAGTGAGTAGTGCACTATGTACTTTTGCCTTTTGTGTCTACATTTGCAGCCCTTGCCAAACTTTGTGGTTTTCCATTACTGGCACCACTTCTACCAAACTGGTCTGCTATGCCATTTGACTTGTATTAGTTACCTCTTGGTCCAGGTTACCCCTTGCGTACCTGCTTTCTAACCAGCTCTATGTCGTTCATATAAAGCGACATTTAGGCATGCCCTTCTTTAAGTGGCATAGTATTGCGCCACTCTGCAACTGAACTTTATTTTGTGCTAAGGAACTGTTGTACTTTGTATCATCATTTGTTGGGTGAATTTTGCCGTTTAGCCCACATTCGCATCGCACCTGTATGTACTTCGTTAGTCACGTGTTTTGCTCTTTATTCGCAGGTGGCCACTGTCTGTTGTAAATTGCCACTTTTAGGACCAAATTGTGCACACCCTTTTCGATTGCAGGGTATTTAGGTGGTGTCTACCAGCCACACAGTAACTAGATATTTAGATTGTCCACTAATACCATGACTTTGTTTACTAGCTTCCATAGACCCAAATTATGAACTTATTTTTCTTCTATTAATTGCCATCATGCATTTATTGTTCTGACTACCCTGTTCACTAATGATGGCTTTATTACTTCTCACTTCTCTAGACTAGCCTGCTATGGTGCACACCCTTTATTAATGATGGCTTTATTGTTCTGACTACCCTGTTCACTAATGTGCACACCCTTTATTACTTTTCTTAAGAAGGATATTTCCCCCTGGAAACACCGTTTACCTGTAGACTGTCTTCTTCCATAACTGCTTTCCCATTACTGCTTCTTTTTGCTTATTCTGTCTTTGCTGTTGGTCATTGAATGCAATTCTCTGCTACATCTGCTATACTATTACCTGGTATCTGCCTTCCTCTGCAAATCTGGCAGTGTCTTTATTCCACTGTACCCGTTTAGAAGGCGTGACATGGTTAGTTTGGTCAATTTATTACTTTTATCTTACTACATTTACCATTGTGTTCCTATACCATGCTACGCTTGTGCCATAGTTCCCAGGTCCTGTTTTTTCCCTAACGTCAGTGTGTGCTCTCAGGCTACTCCCAGACAGGCTGCACTCCTGCTACCCGGTCGTTCAGCAAATAGGAAGCGTCGTCATATTGGTGTTTCCACTGAATTTGTACCTACCACGCCTCCTTCGAGAAGTTCTGTGAGGCGTCGTGTGTGCAACTTTGATAGACGGGGACGCTTGCACCCACTGCTTGACTCAGAAGGTGAACTTGACTCATCCGAACTTGACTTAAGAACTCCTGAAAACTTAACAGCCAGCTCGCAAACTCATCCTCCTGTTGCGTTGGATGGTCATTGTTCGTTGCCTAATGTGCCTCTACCACCTTCACAACAAGCAGAATTCAGTCGAGTTATCGATCATGGTTTTCCTGACTGTGAATGCCAATACTGTGGTGCACGTTCTGGTATGAAGAGCGGCTTAACAGGCATGCATCTCTTGCTCCTGTTTTCACGCTTTGTTGTCAAAAGGGTCGAGTACGCCTCCCATTCCTACAGGAAACCCTCAGTACCTTGAAGACCTCTTGGGTGTTAATGCGGTCCTATGGCAGCGCACTTCAGGGAACATATACGCTCCTATAATGCTGCTTTTTCTTTCACATCTTTTGGAGCACGCCTTGATCCGAGAGTTACACGTTCACGAGGACCTTATTCGTTTGTGATATGCGGAGAAAATTATCATCGAATGGGATCTTGCTTCCTGCTGCAGGTCAGAGACCTAAATATTCTCAGCTATACGTCTTTGACCCGCAGACCGAATTAGCAGATCGACTCTCCAATTTCTCTTCTGCTGAAAGGTCCCTGCGTCCTGATATTGTTTCTGGTTTAATGAAGCTGTTTGACGTGACAAATGAATTAGTTAAGTCTTTTAGACGAATTCAATCTGAATTGAATGATCCAGCATCAATCAATTTAAGACTGCGTATTGTTGGTGCAAGGGACACAACATCTCGACATATGAACTTCCAACTGGTTCAGAATTGGCTGGACTCATTCCTGGTGATTTCTTGCCTGATAAGGAAGAACGAGACATCATTATCGATCATCGGTCAGAGGGCCTGAAGAGGATCACAAGTGTACACCCGAAGTTTGATGCTTTGCATTTTCCAGTTCTTTTCCCATACGGAGAAGATGGATTCCATGTAACCATACCGTATGATCCTGTTCATACTCCCAAAACATTGAAAAGGAAACATGTGACTCAGAGAGAGTACTATGCTTACCGGCTTCAGCACAGAGACGACGAAGGTCAGACATTGATGCGAGGTGGGAAGGCACTTCAACATTACGTGGTTGATGCATATTCCACAATTGAACAAAACCGACTCTATTATTTGCGATCGCATCAAGAAAACCTCCGTTCTGAACTATACTATGGCCTTACAGATGCTTTCAACAGAGGTGATGTTACAGGAGATGCTGTTGGCCATGTTGTTCTGCCATCATCGCATACTGGAAGTCCTAGGTATATGAAGCAACTATACTTAGATGCAATGGCTGTTGTCCACCATCATGGCAGCCCCGACCTATTCATAACCTTTACGTGCAACTCCCAGTGGCCAGAAATAACAGAATCTTTCCGCGCTGTCTGTGGTGCACGCAGCGAACTAAAACCAGAGATTGTTGCTAGGGTCTTTCGCATGAAACTGAATGCACTGGAAGATGAATTAACACGAGGCCATTTTTTTGGTCAAACAGTGGCAGGTTTGTTCGGTTGCCTTCTGTCTTACTTCCTTTTACAATTGCCTGTTATCAATTCTCCTTTTCCTGTTACTCTAAACTTCCTCACTTACCTCATGTTTTGTGCTCTAGCATAAATGACACATTTCGTTGCCTTATAATTCCAGGTATCAAAACCGTCGAGTTTCAGAAACGGGGTTTGCCCCATGTTCATATACTTTTATGGTTGGATGCAAAGAATAAGCTACGACAAGTTTCTGATATTGATGCAACTGTTAGTGCTGAACTGCCAGATCCATTACTAGATCCAATTGGGTATGATGCTGTGACAAAGTTTATGCTGCATGGTCCGTGTGGTCAAGATAATCCGACCAATGTTTGCATGAAAGAAGGATCGTGTTCAAAGTATTTTCCAAAACCGTTTAATTCAGAAACTACAACGGACCAGTTTGGCTATACAGTCTATCGCCGTCGCGATACAGGTATAACAGCAGTGAAAGGTACAGCTATACTAGACAACCGGTTTATCGTTCCATATAATCGGAATTTACTTGTGCTGTTTCAAGCTCATATCAATGTCGAGGTCTGTCATCAAGGCCGCTTGATTAAATATTTGTTTAAGTACATTACAAAAGGGCCTGATAGATCCATGGTTCTTGCTGAAACTGCTGGCTTGTCTGTGTCTGATTCTGCTACCCCAAACCATATCCCTCCATTGGACGAAATTAAACAGTTTCTTGATTGTAGAAGTCTGTCTTCATATGAGGCAGCGTGGCGGATCTTTGAATTCCCTGTTCATGAACGAACACCGCCGGTTCAGCGGTTGTGCGTTCATCTTGAAGGGAGACATTATGTTCCTTATAGGAAGAAACAACGGCTGTCTCGAATACTTGCCCGCGATTCTGTTTCAGAGACAACATTGACACAATGGTTTTACCTTAACCAACGAGATCCAACTGCAAGGGATCTACTTTATGCCGAGACTCCGAATCGTTATATATGGAATGTGAAAAAAAAAAATGGGCTCCGCGGAAAAGAGGGTTCTCAATTGGAAGAATTGTCTATATCCATCCAGGTTGTGGTGATACATTTTATCTCAGACAACTTCTTACCAAAGTTCGTGGGTCAGTTAGTTATGCAGATCTTCGGACAGTCCATGGATTCCCATGTAGAACATATCAAGATGCGTGCCAGCGCCTTGGTCTTTTGTCTAACGATGATGAATGGTTACTTGTGATTAAAGAAGTCAGCCAATGGGGCATGTGCCGCTTGTTACGATACCTCTTTGTGTCCATGCTGATGTTCTGTGAACTATCAAACCCACTGCAGCTTTTCAATCAGACATGGGAATTGCTTTGCGAAGACATCACATATAGGTGCCAACGAGACGTTTGCTTCAACAACAACCTCATACCAACTGAATTGCCCAAAAATAAATTGTTGTGGGAATTGCAGCACATGTTACATGCTTATTCAGCCACGTTATCTCATTTTAACCTTCCCTTGCCAACAGATGATCACCCACAAACTGATCCCTTGCTTCAGTTTGGAACTGATTCACATCCTGGTACTTTAGCTGCTGTGGATTCCCCACCTCCTGTAGTTGGTGATCTTAACAGAAAGCAACTTGAAGCTTTTCATTGTGTAATGGAATCTGTTATGTCTCCAACAGAAGACTCGCCTACATTCTACTTTCTGTATGGTCATGGAGGAACAGGCAAGACTTTTCTCTACAAAACTATTCTTGCGCAACTTAAAGAAGCTGGAAAAATAGTTTTGGTTGTTGCTTCTTCAGGAATTGCAGCAACATTACTTCCTGATGCAAGTACAGCTCACTCTCGGTTTAAAATACCACTGGAAATCGATCATGGTTCTTCATGTAATATCAAGAAAGGTACGCCATTGGCTCAATTGATCATTAATGCATCGCTTATAATATGGGATGAAGCCCCAATGGTTCACAGATTGTCTTTTGAGGCAGTAAACAGAGCTTTTTGTGATATTATGGATGTTCCGTTTGGTGGTGCACACTATAAACCGTTTGGTGGCAAAGTTGTTCTTCTTGGAGGCGATTTTCGTCAAACGCTTCCAATAGTAGCTGATGCTGGCAGAGAAGAGAGTATTGATTCATCTCTGACCTGTTCCTTTTTGTGGCAACATTGCACTGTGTTGCACTTAACTGAAAATATGGGTGGTTGCTTCCCGGGAGAGTCAAAGGTCAACTTTTGGTGGCATGCCCTTTACCGAATGGACTCTTGCTGTGGGAAATGGGAATGTGCCAGGAAAATCATTTCCTTCTAACCAATCTACTGATTGGATAGAGATTCCGGAATCATTACTGCTTCCTTCTTCAGGAAATCCCATCCATACGATTACGTCTACAGTCTATCCTGACTTTGCTCAACGGTTCCATAATGTATCGTACCTCACTGAAAGATCCATTATCACACCGACCAATGCAAATGTCACAGAGATCAATTCTCATATGTTAGCTCTGATTCCGGGAATGCCACGCACATATTTTAGTGGTGACAGTCTTCATACAGATGCAAGCGATCCAGACCGACTCGAAGCTGAATATCCCACTGAATTCCTTAATTCCTTGTCCTTCAATGGCTGCCCTGAACATCAGATTGATCTCAAGGTATTTGCTCCAATTATGCTGTTGAGGAATCTAAACCCATCCATTGGTCTTTGTAATGGTACACGCTTAATGGTGCTCTATTTGGGCCATTATGTGATAAAAGGAATGATAATGGGGGGTACATTCAATGGTAAGACTGTGGCAATTCCAAGAATTGTCCTTAGTGTCAATGATTATCGTTGGCCATTTGTTCTTAAGCGCCGGCAGTTTCCAGTACGATTGTGCTACGCCATGACAATCAACAAAAGCCAGGGCCAGACATTGCAAAATGTTGGTGTGTATCTGCCGAAGCCAGTGTTCAGCCATGGCCAACTTTATGTCGCTGTTTCTAGAGTTAGAACACCAGATGGACTTAGGTTCCTTATTATGAATGAAGATGGCGTGCCTTCCAACTGTACCCGAAATATTGTTTACCAGGAAGCATTCGTTGACCTTCAGACCCCATCTTCCTAACTAGAGGTATTCCTTTCAATCTGGTACATTGAATCTTTTGTAGATTGCTTGCTCAGCATCCTCCTGGAACTGAAATGTATCTTCTAACGTTCATATTCGTTGCTGCCTTTATCTTTCACAGGTCTGGTGCGGATCTCTCGAACCAAAGAATCCCATGTTGCTGTTCGTTTTTGGGTTGTGGCCTCTATCTTATAAAGGCAAAACAAGTGTTTCGTTTCCAGGGATTCAAATTACCAGTTCGCAGAGGGTTTGTCGGATGGGTACTTTAGGCAATCCACGTTTAAATAAACCTGTTGCGTTTCACCTCCAACACATTCTGCCGGTGGACCGGGACAGTTTTTAATATAGTCGGGCCGGCCTGTTGCCCCCTGAAGTATCCAGCCCAAACTTTTTCCCCTTGACGTATCCGGCCCAAACTCTTCTCCCTTGACGTAGTTGGCCCAAGGACTGCTGGTTAAATGTTTCCATCGGAATCTGACGGAAACCATATTCAGCTGCCGCGATGCTATCTTTTAGCTGGAAAGATGCCCTTATTTCCTATGTGGCTCATGCAGTAATCGGGCCAGAGTTGTTTGCAAAACCCATGGCAAATGACTACACACAGCCGGGCTAATACATTTCAAATGCATCTAACTAAATTGGCCCTGTGGGGGGTTTTCCCTTTTGTTTGGGCGGCTACCTAAATGGTCTGCCAGCGCGTTCCAACTCTAAACTCTAGAATACACTAATTTACAAGGAATTTACTAAAGAGCAAGGAATGTGACAGTTAACAAAGAACACAATTATATGATCCTCAAAATATGGTCACATGAAGGACCACCGCAAAAGGATAATACCCTTTCAAAAAAATGTGCCCCACATATTCACTACGCGGTTAGATAATTCGAAACTAAAGTGAGGTCGACCATTACTAACATTAATCCGATTAGCCTAATACTACCCTACGCTACTTAGTCTAAAATCGGGAACAACTTAACCAAAAAGACATTAAGACGATTCTCCACGTTGTTCCAAGGTCCGAATGTCAGCAAAGCACTATATGGGCCCTCACCAATCCTGTTGAGTAGTGGAATGTACTCCATATCTTCCATCTCATCAGGACCAACAGCAGCAGACATGACTCGCCGTAAGTAAGTTGATGGACATACGAGCTCAATACCGGTGGTAAAATCTTCAATTGTCACGTGCAACATGTATATGCCGGAGTCGGCATTCCAAGATCTCCTCACTTCTTTGACCCACCCATTCAAAATGTATGACTTGCCCTGGTACAATACAAAACAAAAGGAATTCAAAACAAGACCCCATTAGATGCAAATTCTTTAGAGGAAATATAGCTTCCGGCTAGATAAAATATATGTTATCTGATTCACCTGATTAGCAACATCCAATTGCATAGGGATAAGTTCATCCGTTTCTATATGGTCCCAAATTCGTACGGCAACTTCATATCGCAAATTTGAAACGAAGTCTCCCATGGAAAAGAACCTATAATTTAAATTAGTAGCAATATTAGCAACTCTATCAACAAATGTTAGAGCTATACAACTAATCAACTAAATATGTAAACCCGAATGTGCACAAACAATAGCAACACAATACATGAATGTGTCACTACAAGCATACAAAGTTTCCTTGGAGTATCGAACTAAAAAAAACAAACTATTCTGAATGATAACATTGTATTAGCTCTGGAAAAACCTAATTTGAAGGCCGGCAAACGAATGTATTGATGAGCGGTCTGGAAAAAGTGGCATAAATTCTTGATGAGAGGAAAGGGAAGTTTTTGCCGAGGTAGGGTTTTAGAGATTACCTTGTAGAGATGCTGAGGTAGGACTAACGTCGATCAGGCAGAGAGAAGGCCTGGAAAATGATTGCATGCACTGGAATGGGTTCACAGTTGCTTTGGTGGCCGGAGAGTGAGCAGAGCAGAAAAAAGCGTCAGGGAAAAAGGGAGGTGAAACGTCCTAGGATGGGTTTTAATGCGGTCAGATTTGAACACTTACCTCCTGGAAATGTAGAGATGGTACTAATATCGGTCAGTCAGGCAGCCCTGGATCATGAGTGCATGCAATAGCTTGGATGGCCTGATTTCCTTCTCGGCGGCGAATAAACAGTACCGTCGTGCTTCGGTGGCGTTGTTGAAGTCCACGCGAGTGGTGACTGGACGCTAGGTTGTTCGCCGAGGGAGAATAAGCGAACCGTATGGAATATGTCGGGGTTTGCGGCGGGAGCGGGAATCAGGAGAAGCAGAAGATGGCGGGTTGGCGATGTGGATGGTCAGGTTTCTGTGGAGGGCCTGGAGGGTAGGTGAGAGCGATGGAGGAGGGAAAGGAAGAAGGGAGTTAAACCGTCTTCGGGTGGGTGGGAGGTTTTTATTGTTTAGCTTTATTTTAGTTTTTATATTTGCTTGATCGAAACGTGGACATGACTGTCCATTTGGTTTGAATTTTTTGGCCTTCAACCAAACACAACTCAATTGGAAAGCAAATTTTTCGTTTGGTTTTTTTTAAACCAATAAGCAACTTAATGCCTTTGCCTTGGTTAAAACTGAAAAAACAATAGAACCCATGAATAATACATTATTCATCCGCAAGGTTGTTCTTTTGAAAAAACAAAAAATCCCCTTTTGCCACGCATACCAACCAATAATTTGTGCTGCCTATACAGATATGTGCTTGTCAAGTCATAATAAATAAATGAACACCTAACTCTTCTTTTTTATTCAATGATACGAGTGATTAATTGCCTAACAAATTCGCTACTTCAAAATGGTATTCATTTATTTAAAAAAGCAGCCAACCCTAGCGATGCATTGTTAATTGATTCATGTTTATGAGGAAATGACAACCTAATTTCAACTCCTCCTCACAACCAACAACCCGCTACTAAAAGGGATCGTCTTAAGCAACATAGTCTTGCGACTCATTTGGTAGTACATTAAATCAATTTGAAGGTCTTACAACATCATACTAATTTCATCTGTGTATTTCACTTGCATGAATACTCACCATTCAAGCACAAGTGCACATATTGATCGCTCGAGTTCCAAAAAACCTTTACTCTGAGAAAAACGTCATTGGGATGGATGTCTTGCACTATCCCGATTAAATCTTCCCGTGTGTTAAATGTACATTACCGAAATAGAATTCCCTGTTATTATAGTTTAATTGATCAATAAAAAACAAATGCTCAATGAAGTGGCAGAAATGTGCCACACCCCATTCCACTCTCCCAAACTTTTATTGCCGCCAGTGTAATGGGAACAGTTCAGTTTAGGATATGTGGTTTTTTCCTGTACACTTTTCTAAGGTAGATAGCTACATATATGGACCCATTCTACATAACCAAGTGAAACAACTATTTCGCAAGGGCCTGTTAGACATGACAGCCCATTTATAGCCCACAACAAGAACTCATACGTCACTGTCGTTTCCCCTAATCAACCGTGGAGGAGATTTCGGCCCACATGGTTTTTTTGTGGTCCTTGGACACTGACAGTCGTTTTTACTCAGCCTGAACAACCACCTACTTCCTTTCGTGTATAAGGAACTCTGGATTTCTAATTCAATAAGTGCTATGCAAACTTCAGTTCGCCTGAACTTTATTTCCATCCTGCGCTGCATCGTCAACTCGACGCAAACGGTTTGTACTTATCTCTCTTTTACTTGCAGTTTGGTATACCATGCATAGTGTTCCGCTTTTATTGTCTGAACTCATTATCCTTGTGCTTGGGGGAAACATCGCCGCATGTGAAATTAGGGTTTGCCTTGAAATCCCGGCATTCCTTGGCCTCTCAGTTCACCGCAGTTTATGCTCTCTGTCGCCTGGGCCAAAGTTTCACACAATTCAATGGACCTCAATTGTACCCTACGAAGTTCCCCAGAAGGTTGGACTCCTCACACTCTAATCATTTACATGTCGGCACTGTTATTTATACAGGGGGGAAACAATCGGCCAGTTCTTTTATTTTCCAGTGCATGGATACGGTCGTTGCTGTTGCTGTCAGTAGTTGAATGGCGTGTACTTCCTTTTTGAAATTTCAGACCTAATCAGTACGTCAACTACAGTTTGGGACCTCAAAGGAAAAATGGTAGCTGGTCACATTGTACTGCGCTTGATTCATATCTGGCTATCTGATGAATACATGGGAACGGAGAGCAACCAATTCATGTATACTTTATGGGTTGATGTGGAGGTTGGCATATTCGATTTTCAAGTTAATTCCATGTTACTTATTATGCCAAACTGATACTCATGATATGGTTCTATTCTTTCATAGGAATCTTTAATTGAGGGAGTCACCGACAGAATTGATATGGCTAATATCGAACCACTTCTCGAGGTGGGCCTGCTCTACGTACTGGATGAAGTACCACTAACCGTGGCAAGAAGTACTCAAAGAACTGCAACTGGTAATTTACGCCTTTGCCTTCGGACAGGACTATCATGCAGGAACCTCGATGAAAATCAAATAAAGAAGCGGTTCCCGGTTGATGGATTTAAGAACACAGAATTTGAAGAACTTTACGGGATGGCCTTGGACCCAACGAACTTGGCAGGTAAGGTTTGCCTGCGTGATCAATTTTTCCTCCAAATATTGTTCTGATACTAGGGTCCTTGAACGTTTCCAGATCTCACAGGTCGTGTTTTAGCGATATCAGAACCAGTATACAATAGTGATAGCACTACCTTCATGATGATCCAAATAGAAAACACCAGGTTAATGTTTATAGTCCTTCCTTTTACATTCGAACTTGTGAGAACTACACTAACACTCTCTGCATTCTATCAGGAAGCAAACTGTTGTGATCAATTACACTGCTCCCTACGATGATTTCTACTATTGGGCTGAAGCCGCTGAACTCAAATATCCGGTGGTCGCGACCTTCACGAGCATTTTTGTTGCTCAGCCTGAACCGAGATGTGCGCCTCTTAATCTCTCTATTCGTTGTTATGCCTTTTACACAAATCTGTGCTGAAATACAATTTACCTGTGT